AGTTCTGGTTTAATATCTCTTAAGAAGAAACACTTGAAACCAGCATAATGAATAGGGCACGACCTACTTGCAGGTGTTCTGCCGACTGGGAAGTTTTCACTGTGTACACATGACCTGTTCTTGCGCAAAAATGCCTTTATTTTTAATTAATTCTTCAAACCGATAGGACCGAGTCGTAATCCTGCCTGTGCCATGCAAGGACAGACATGGGATCCTCCCAGGAAGGGTCAGCATTTTTGATCTTTCTGCCTTTTAACAGATCACAGCAGATTGCAGGCTACCCCGTTGCGCGGGGCTGCGCGGCGCGGTAGTGCCCCCTGGCGGCCGCCGCCTGCCCGCCCCCGGGCGCCTCCGTGCCGGTGTTCGTAGGTCACGATCCCTCCGTGCGCCGAGACCTCTCCCTCAGGCAGAAGAGTCCAGGGAAGAAACAGCATGTAATGCCACAGCCTGAACGGCCTCGGGTGGTGGAAGCGTTGTCAGCGGATCCAGGTGGGAAGATAACCCAGGTGGAGGGTTGAAGGCAATGCAGCGAGACTGGCAGGTGACAGGGCAATGTATAATATCAGTGTTGCTCCTTGTTATTAGTTCTTTACTCAGCACATAGAGCGTAATTAGGCACTTTCCAAACCCACACAGCCTCCTCTACTCTTGTCTTCTCACTGCTTTCCTGCTAGGTGACTCAAATCTAGAGATTTTCTTCCACTAAACCCTCCCTAAGAGCTACCACACTCTATAGTGGTTTTTTCCTCCCATCTCAAATCTCAATCATGTTTGAACATGACTGGGAATAATTAAATCAGTTCATGTGATGTTTGTTGTAATTAACTGGTAAGACCAGATAAATGACTGGTCCTGACCTAGATGTACCCCATCTCGTGTTACAGCAACTACTCACAATTAGCATGAGCTGCAACAGAGGCGTCTTGTCACCCACCTAGTTTGTTGAACCTTGTTCTAGCAGTTATTATTCTGCAACATAGGTCAACACCTCTGGCCCCATCATCGTTTGAGAATGAACGCACAGTTTGCATTTTTTTGGGAAGTATTTAAGCTGAAACAGTGAAGACACCAAGGAAAGAAGGTGTGCTGAAAGATGGTGAAGGAGAAAAGTTAAGTTTGTTGAGAGAGAAATAAGATATGGGTAAAAGGTAGGAATTCATTTAATATCAGCTCTTTCTACCTATCCTACCTCCCTGTGGTTTTTATTCTATTTATATTGAGTAAAATTCTCACTTCAGGATCCACTGCTTTGGGAGTGATTTGTGAAAAAGGCAACCACATGCAAAGTTGTGGGGGTTTTAAGAGATAATGCATGGGTATTAGGCCCTTCCATGTTACCACTATTACAGATTTGTTTCTGGCAGTATATGAATGTAAGAGGACTATAGCTTCCCTGGAAAAAAGGGTCGTTCTAGATTCCCTGATCAGGAAGAAAATTTTGAAAAGTTGATCCAGGGAGTCTCACACAAGGAAAATGGTCAGAAGCCAAATAAGAAGCTAAACATAGTTTTCTTTACATAAGTCTCCTGAAGCTGTGAAGCGAAGTGGAAGAATCTTCTATGTCTAGGGAAGGCCTGACTGCTATGTAAAATCCTAAGCTGAAGACAACCACAAGATTGCATCCCTCTGTGTGAAGAGAAAGGTTTTCTCTTCACGCTTCACAGTGTTCCAGTTCCTCAGCTATTCACTTTCTGCTAAACTCAGGCTTTCAGTGTATTTTGGAGAGGCTTTCCCAGTTTTCCAAAGGTTGCTTTTGTCATCCCCCATCTGAAAATAAAATTTTGTAAGCAGTTCCATTTGGTGAACCAGCCTATAGCTTAAATACCTTAAGCGTAGCTTCTTGGTTTGCTGTCTCTTCAGTAGATTCAGGCCTTTCTTAGCACTACCATAACATGTAAGCCCACCTTTTGACTTGCACAGGCACTTCCCCATGCATGGGCCTCCACATCTTGATGAAATCCTGGCTCAGTTCTTATGGCAACTAGAGGTTTTTTTGACTTCAATGAGAACAAGATTTTTCCTAGTGAATATATTTTTGTATAGCCTATGGAAAGATAATGAAGATGGAAAGCACTCATAAACACACATTGTTCAGTGGCAGTGATTTATTTCCATTCCAACTTCACTACAGTTCAGCAATACACAATATGATTATGCATGCTACATATTTGATACTCCTTGCCCACTGCTTTTAGTCTGTGCAGTTCTTACTTTGGCTTTTGGGAGGATGACTGGTGTGCAGACTATAACAGCAGTCCCTGAAAAGGCCAGCTAGAAGCTGAAAGATCAAGACAGAGAATCGGAGCATTAACACTTCCCAATATTTTTCTGATTCTGCTTTTTCTGATAGGCTCATTCATGCTCTTGTTTTCTGTTTTGTCAGTGTGATGTATTTCTCTAAGACCTACACAAGTTGAGAGCACTCCATGTCATGTAAATACTTCTGACTATCACATTAACTTTTTTTTTCTCACCGTAAACCAGCTAGAATCATCTCAGGTTCAAAGTATTCTTCCTTACCCTAAAAACCTTCTTGGATTTCACAGGAATAAAGGTGGAGGACAGCAGTGACAAGCTTTAGCAGTTATCAGGACAAGGAGTCCCATTTTCTCTTATACCTGAGGGTGTCAGGGTGCTCACTACTCCCTCTTCCAGCATATGCTCCCACATACCGTCCTTTACAGATGCAGTTCCAGTTCATCAGACACCTTGTTTGCATGTCTGCTTACAGTCTGGTTGCTACATCTGTCTGCTTCTGCCTAGCTTTTAGCTGCAAATCTTTTCCCTGTTTAAATACACCTTTCCCTTTCCTACTGGGGCGTTAGGCATCTAACTGACAAGGCAATGTGAGCAAGGTGGAGTAATGCCAGGGATAAATTGGCTTGGCTTGTACAATCAGAAGCTAAAACTATTCGCAGATCAGAAAGCTGAAGGGAATGCTCAACAGGCCAAATGAGTTGTAACTTTTGAGGTCCCATTTTCAGGTGGTTTCAGCTGGCACATCTTAGAAATCAGTGGACATAGGTGGGTTTCCATCAGCTAAGTAAGCCTCTGGCTGTAAGCTGGTCAGATGGTCTCTGGTTTGGAAAGGGGGAAAAGTAAAGTGGCCAACAAACAGAAGTGGAGAAAGCTGAGCAGAGAAGGACTTGGTGAAAGGCCAGTGGGAGGGCTGGAAGCCTGGTATGTGTTTACAGGGAGGAATTCAGAATGCTTGGTGTAGATACCCAATGCATACCTGCCTTTCGGCTGCCCTCTGGCACTCACTGTCTGAAGAAGTGCCAACATTCTTTATAGCTAATGGAGGGGGGTACATGTCTTCACAAAGAAGTCCTGTTCACCTTTCTTAGGATGACAGGCAGATGGACAGGATCTTCCTCAGAGATCTGTAAAAGCAGACCACTGCCTGTGTATGCTGTGGAAAGGTGGCACCAAAAATGAAGTGTATGTTAGGTGCCTGAACGTGAAGGACTCAGACTTAACCCATATTTGCCAAGAGGGCTCAGAAAACATTGTCAGTGTTGCCAGATTAGAGCCCAGACAGCTCCAGAAGGTACAAACATCACAGAGGGGATGGCAGCAACTCTTGCTCATTTCTTCCTTCTACCAATTTGGCTCCTTCCATCACCTGCAGAAATAGTCTCATTACTTTCATCCTTCAAGTACCTCCTGATGTATTTAACTTTTTCTCCTTGTTTAAACTCTGCAGTACCTTCATGTCCAACCATCTCAGGAGCTGGGAGGGCTTAGGGGGAAGGAAAAGCAGAAAACCAAAACCTAAGGGCAGAAATCTTCCAAGTCACCAGGAGAGAGCTGTTAATTTTATGATTCAGTGCTGTTGAGAGCTGGCTTGAAGGAATTAATGGAAATCAGACACATTTCACCTTGCCAGTTATTCAGTCTTACTTCTGTTTATCTTATATTGCTTATGTGCAATGATGTGAGCATGGTTACTATATACCTCCTTTAAGATTAAAAGGTGACTTCTTAAGCTGTGGTCCCAGTAGAAAGGCTCATATGTAGTATTCCAGAGACATGATGCCTTTGAGGCACAAGCAGCTTTCCCACACTGCTCCTTATGTGCAAGAGAAACATCTACTACTCCTGCTAGGGCTAGGAGCTGCCCTGCCTCTATAAGCAGAAAGCCAGGGAGGTATGGAGGATGAGAAAGCCATGGCTTTGCTCTTCCTCCTGCTCTGCTTTCTGCATCTACTTTCCTCAAAATAGTGTGAATTGCTGCCTTATTTGCTTCCTGGAGGGAAAAGAGCTCAAGGTTATGAATGACAACTCAAAGGAAGAAGCATCTAACCTGCACCTCGCTTGTGAGCTGGGGTACACAAATCCACACTAGGAAGGCTCAGGAGGGTGTCCAGTATATCAAATCAAATAGAGCCAGTCCTGGAGGGAAGGGAAAAGGATGACATGATCTTGAATCCTTGGGTGAGCTCAGTGTGGGCTCTGAAGGCGAGTTGGAGGATATTATTTTGCCATTGCAAGTCAAAGCAAGAGTGCTTGGAAAGTGTTTCTGACTTGAGCACCTCCTCAGTGCTGATGAGAGGGATGGTGCATGATCATCCTCTGGCTCACACCAGGCAAACGCTGACCTGCAGCTGCAGGGGTAGGTGCTGCAGGGCCCTTTCCAACACACAGATGCAGAAGTGATCTGCAAGAAAGAGGCCGTGCTTTGTAGTGTGGTTTCTAAAGGAGCCTCCAGAACACATAGAGGCTTTTGTCTTCAGACATTTTCTGCAATATTATGGAACATACATCTAAAGTGTGATGTACCTGTGCCTTTGAAATGTTCTCCAAATAGTGCTTCCACTCAGCTTCAATACACAAATGCAGTAATTGCAAATGCATACAATATATCTGCATTTTTCCTTTTGCCTTTTCTTTTCATAAGATGTAATCTTTCTACAGCTTTGTTGTATTTTATGTTTACTAAGATGATTATCCCAGAGAAAGATCTAGACATGATTATATTTTCTATTTCTGTTTTACAGTTCTTGTTATGACAACAGTTACTTTCACTTCTGCAATAAAACAAAATACATCTGAGATTATATGTGTTTTAATCAGCCAGAAGGATGAAGGTTCAGGAACACCAGAGACATTGGTATCTCCCAAGGTAATATAACAGAGAGCTAGTTGCTTATAAAATACTTCTGTCCATTTTAGAAATGGCTTCCCAGAAGTTAACAACATCCTAAACCTTTAGGCTGTGGGGATGTCACAGCCAAAATACCTGGGGTTATGCCAAATATGACTAGAGGAGGTTAGAGGTAATTATTTGTCACAATTCATACTTTGAAAGTGTAAATAGATAGGTATCACTTTTCTCTAAAACTGATTTTTTAATTTCTTGATGCTGTCTGACATCAGCATGCCTGAATATTACTGAATATTTTTTCAAGGTAGTCTTATGGAATCTTCTTCATTCCTGGACTAATAAATAAAAAATTTGGATACCAAATGAAAGTACAGCAACAAAGCTGTGATGTCCTTGTATCTGGCAAGGCAGAATATGGCTGCTATCTCTAAATACTTCTCAGATCAAGTGAAGGGGAAAAAAAGGAGGAAAGAATGAGAAGAACCAATGCCAAGCAGAGTGTGGAGCAGAGGGTGTAATGAACTCTTGTCCTTTCACACACTTACACCAGGTAAATTTCACCCACCGAAGTCATGAAGGGAGACATTTAGGACTACTGTTCAGATGGAGATATTTACTTTCCACCTTTTGCTGCAGCTGAGATTAGAGACTCATAAATCCATTGGTGGCTTTCAGAATGACTGTGGAATATTCTCCTTCTGTTTTCAATTCTCCTTTAGCCATACACAATGGTGAGGAAATTAAAGGTGTGAAGACGCCCAGGCCAAATGTTCCTTACCTAGTAAAGCCCCAAAGGAGTCAAGGAGCAGTCTAGCAAGGTGATACAGTGACAAGCAGTGGGATGCTAAAAAATACCCAAACGTTCTGACCCTGCCTTTGCATTTTGAAGTCGCAGACAGAAAAGTTGCATTATAGTTCCGTGTCTTTCTATGGTTCTACATGTATGGAAACAAAAATGAGAGTAAAGAATAGCCTGTATCACTAAGGGAAACTATCATGTTTCTGGCAAAAATCGTTCTGTGATGTCTGTTGAAAGAACAGAATTAACTAATATAACTGGAATCCTATAGAGTTTCATCGTGCAGTAGAATGCAACATATTTATGAATAAGTTTCACAGTAGAAATGATAAAAAAAAAAGGTATGATGGTGTTATTTCAGTATAATTTCTATTCATATTTGAACATTAGGAGGCAGTTTATGAAAGCTTTTCTAGAAGAGCATCATTTAAAAATATTTGAATGCAAAAAAGCAAGTAAATTTAATTTCTAATAAACACATAACAGTCTGTCCTCCTGCATTGCAGATTTCTAACATTTTGGAAGATCTTGGGTGTTATTTGAATTATCAAGGAACAGAGAACATCTATGAACCAACTAAAACTGTGGAAGTTAATGTCTTTGAAGATATTGAATTAAGAGTAATAATGAACATTTCTAATATAATTTCATGCTTCTGGTTCTTTAAAGAGAGCAAAGTGTGTAAACCTTCTTTGGACTCACAGAATCGGTGAGTCAAAGGATGTACTGATGCAAAGATCCTTTAAGAGATCGTTTCTTTTAGGATGCAAATGGAATATTTTCTGTGACTGTGCTTGCATTTAATTTCATGTTATGCATTATCTTTTTAAACCTTCTAATCTTCCTTCATGGTTGTCAGCTGGCAGCACATTACTGATTGTCATTTAGACTCATACATATATGAATAGTTTGGAATAAGCTTGTTATGTGAATTTGTATAACATCATGCATAGGGAACTCCAGGGACTTTCTGACATTGATCAATTTGAGCTTTGCAGTGCTCATGTGAGGCAAAATTGTGATTTTATAATCAAAGAAACTGAGCTATGAAGAATTATGTGGCTTGGTAGGGTGACACTGCAGATCAAGAACAACAACAGGAACAACATTCTAATTCTCACAGCCAAACCTGGTCTGGAACCTGAGGCTTGAATATTGCCTCCTCCTGCAAAAACATGTGGGATGGGACTGTAGGTAAAGCATTTCCCTTTGGACCTCCCAGCTGTCCTAAGCTCAGGAAGTCCATCCTTTTTAAACCTCAGCATTAAGCATGTGGTACCTGTGGTTTTAAATTCCTATGTGCTGCTTTTGTACTAAGATACAGGTTGAAGGGTTTTATGAAAAATAATGAAGACTGGTATTTCTGAAGGCTTTTTGCAAGACTGAGGAGCTAACATTTTATTCTGTGTGCTGCATATTACCTTCTAGATAACAAATACAGCTTTACTTTCTGTTATACAGATACGTTATGTCTTTGGCTTTTTCACAAATAAGAGAAGCACAAGCTGGAAAATACACCTTCTCAGTCATAAGTGAAACTGGCAATTACACAGTAGTTGTGCCTGTTCTCATCCAAAGTAAGTATATCCGAGATGAAAGGGCTTTCTCCATCAATAGGTTTAAGGGGAGAGACTCCAGTTCAGTCAAAGCAATGAAGCTCTCGGATGCTGCATTTCAAGCATCTTCCTAGACTTCCATAGGTCGTGGAGCTGTCTTCAGAGGCTGAAATCAAAACTGCAGACTGCATGAGAGTCAGCTTTTGCTACTCAATAAACCTCGTAACTGAACAAATAAAGATGGAAATGCATAGCAGCTCTCTTCTCCCCTATGGGAAATACCCTCTATGCCAGAAGGGACAAATTGAGGATGTATTTTGCATGGTCTCAAAGCTCATGGGCTAGATTTTCTTGCTTGCATCTTATCCTGTTTATTCTCAGTGTTGTCAGCTGGGCTATTACCTGGACCAGGTCAGGACACCACTTTTATGTTCTGGTCTCTGGTGCTCCAAAATCACCACCACTCCTCCTGGGCCTGTCTCTTGGGTCCATGCACTTCTCTCACAGCTTCTCCTTTCACAATTCCATGGCCAGCAAGAGTCACCACTAAGGGAAGGGGAAAGACAAGGTCTTTCTTCTCAGTGCCAGCCTTCACTTGCTTACTGAGTCTTCAGGTAAAACCCATCGTACTGCAGCTGCTCAGCACAAGGGTGCCTGAGAAGCTGAGATTTTAGCTGCTGCTAAATGCTCATGACAGCTCACCTGTGAGCTGTGACTTTTTGAAAGGCTCACAGTGGGAGCAGATTTGATTGAATTTTCTCAAGAATAACACAAGGGACATTTCTGATGCAAAGGCAACTGCTGCAACAAAATTCAAACTTCTGTTTTTAAGTAGAGGTGTCCAAGGACATAGATCAAAAGAAAAAAGACCCACACTGGCATGTTTTTGTTTTTTTTAACAGAAGATAAATTCTGTATAATTTTGTCTGGAGAGGGCCAAATTTAAAACTAAAAAAAGGAAAAGAAATTTCAAAGTAAGGAGAGGAAAACGTTCATCCAAACAGCTAAAAGACTGGAAAAGCCTTCTAGAGAAAGGTTTAATAGTACCGTTACTTACCTTGTTTTTAATAAATTGTGATAAATCAGCTGCTTTTATTCCCTCTTTGTTTTTAAAGCATTTCTTCTGCTTGACTTTTTTTCTCTCTCAGGTGTCTGAAGTGTCATCTCCAGTCTCTCCTTGTTTTATTGGAAGGCCTATTGCATGTCTCAATCATAATTTTAACAGCTTCATTGAGGAGACAGGGTATTAAATCTTCAATTAAACATTATCTTCTCTACTGTACCAATTAGGCTTTAGAGGTAAAAAGTGATATTGCATGTGCAAGCAATAGCAGTTTGAAACAGTCTCGTTAAAGATCTGCTCCATATCAATTGCTTGGATTGCATTCTTCTTGCTCCTGTGAATCTAATCATAATTTCATCTCTCATAAAATCCTTCAGTCTAGATGGGAATCCTTCAACTGAGATGTGAATCTCTAGAGGTTGAAAAAAAAACCTTTTAGGCCCAGCTTATAAGACATAAATGGAGAAAGAATTTGAAAATCCAGAAGTATTAGTTTCACCTTAGAATCATAAAACCAACTAGGTTAGCATGTCACCTTGCAGGCAATGGGGGAATGACTAAAGAAGATGTCCCTCTTCTGTGTGGAAGCTCTAATTTCATTTTAAAATGACCTAAAGCCAGAGTCAGTGCTCTGAATCAAATCTTTAGCAGTTTTAATACATCAAATTTATGTGCTTAGTCCAAGTCTGCGCCTGATGGATTGACGGACTGGGAGTTATCTAGAAACCTTTTCCCCCCAAGTTACAAGTACAGGTTAGAGAAGTCTGCTGGTTATCAGAAGTCATTATCACCCGTTGTTTTTCCATGGTGTATCTGATCTGACCAAATAGTATGCAAGGATCCCATTTTGTGTAGAGACTTTCTAGTCTCAACAGATACTCCACCAAAGGCCATGTTATTTCAAAAGGTATCTGTGCTCCTGCCCAGTGAAATGAATAGCAACCACAACAAATTCACACCTTTCAGTCTCAGGAATATCCTTTGGTGCAGGCTTTGATATTGGGGAAGCTGTGATTTAGCAATCAAGGCTGAAAATCTCATGAGACCAACCCACAATATCCCTAAGGCAGAATCGTTTTCTGTTCACTCAGCGTCGAAACCTCCTGAAACAAATTGCACCTCTGTAACTTCATGCACTACCAAATAAGCAAAACACTGTTTCAAAATGTTTTCAGTATTCTTAAACATTTGCATTATTTCTTAACAGAGAGACCAGGCAAACCCTATTTTAGGAAAAGGGAAGGATCAGATGCAATTGAATGCATATCTGAGAGCTACCCTCAGCCCTATGTGGAGTGGATATTTTGCAAAACACCTGAAAAGAGGTATGGTGTATGTTTATATGCCTGTTGAATCTCTAGGCTGAGTTCACCAACTTCTGAAGAAGGGGAAGGTTTTGTACTCCTTACTGTGCATAGTGAGCTGGGGAGATAACTGAAGAAGAGCTCTGGGGACAGAATTTTTTGAGACAGGTTCTGCCAGCTTGGTTGAAAAACTGTCACTGCATGATCCACTCTCCGGAGTGCTGCAACTCCTCTGGACTCACTCATACAGGCCCAAGTCCTTCTTATGTTGGGGGCCCCAGGGCTGAGCATGGTACTGCAAGTGTGGTTCTATTAATATATAAAGTTGAGTCTATTAATAGCAGGAATAATGCCTTTCTTTGCAGATTGTTGAGGTCTTTGGGATTTCTTTGGGATCTGGGTCTCATAAGGGCTGCTGGATTTGCAGCAGCTCCCACCACAGGAATTTAGAGATGCAATCTGAAAGCTCAGCCTCTATGATTTCATTCTTGTCCAGATTTTAGTCACAGCATTACCTGTCTAAGAGCCAGTTTGAGCATATTCAGGTTATTTCAGCTCATATTTCTGCCTAGGCTGTGACATTTTCTTTTCTTATCTTCACCTTTCCTAGTTCCTTTTTTATTCAGCTATGTAAGATCCAGTTTTCCCACTATTGTTTGCATAGTTTCATGGCTTGGAAATTTATCAGATTTATTTGTTTGAAGTTAACCAAATGAGTCAATGAATAATTGTGCTTGTAATTGCAGTTGCCCTGATAAAGTGCATGAAGAAACTGGGGAAATAGATGGCATACAGAAGATACATTATGAATTATTTCAAACTTATATATGGTGCTGTGCAGCTAATGACCTGGGCAGAGAATGCACTGGCGTCTTTACAATAGGTAACTTCCCTCTAAGTTTACTTACATGCAAGCTGGATCCTGCTGCTGAAGTTAGTTGCACTGCTCACCTGGGTATAATTTCTTTGATAAACTACTTGTTTGTATAATGTTATATGTTTGTATAATCACTGGAACAAATCTAACAATGAATATAATTGTTCTGTTACATGTTTAAAACCTAATTCTAATAGCTATTTGTAGCCTCTGTAAAAAATGTCTTGCCCTACATTTGCTAAATATCTGTTAATTTTTTCTTCATGTTTTTAGGACTACGGGGCATGAAAACACTCTTCAAAGTGTTCTCAAATATATACATTTATAAATAATTATAAATTGAGCTATAAATTCAGGTTTATTAGTCCGGTTCTTTTAAGCAAACCTGGCCCGAGCTAAGCTCTGTGCTGAACTGTGCCCTACAGATACCTTGTAAATTACATCAAAACTGTTGAACTAACTGAGCATTTTTCCAGGAAAAGTGATGGTTCTTTCAGTGACTATGTTTTGATTTTGTAGATTTAAATGAAAGACAAACAGCACCTTTACCTGAATTACTTCTTAAAGTCGGAGAACCGTTGCTGATCAGGTGCAGAGCTGTTCACCACAATTACAAATTCAGAATAAAACTAACTTTAGAAAGCAAAGAAGTTGAGCAGGTAAGAAGAGAGGGCATGTTTCAGGAGAGGTAACACTGGGCACTATCAACTGATTAAATGGAAATCTCTGTTGAAAACTAGGATCGCCGGTTTGAAGGATTAGAATATCAAACCGATTACTCAGCAATTCGGATCCACTATGTGTTTGCTTCAGCGGCAGGAAGAAGTGATAGCGGACGTTATACCTGTTCTTCTACTGCTCATCAGAATCAAACTGCTTTGGTTACAGTTTTAGGTAATTCCAACCCCAGTGTTAATTTTATCCCTCAGTTGGTTATTTTTGTTTTCCATGTGGCAATTGTTTGCTTGCAGGTAGGCAGCATATGTTTATAGTTCCTTTTCTAAGAAAAAAGTCTGACTTACTGACAGTCTAGGGGAGCCAAGACATTAACCTGAACTAAGTCATTCTGGTACATGAAGATAATCAACCTTTAAATTATATTGCTTTTCAAATAATTCCCATTAAAAGACAGTCCTTTTGGAAGTTAAATACTAAAGATGTACCAGGCCTGATATAGGTCTGAGAGGAAGGAATCAAACAGATATAAGATTCTTGGTGGTGGGCTTTCTCACTCAAAACCCAGAACAAGCATTGATAGGTCTGATGGAAAACCTGAAACTCGAGAGACTACTCCAACATTATTGCTTGTTCTGCATGTCTCCTGCTTTCCATGTGCTGAAGGAAACCATCTTCTTAAGACCAAGCTATACAAGGACTGAAAATTTAAAAAATCAAAAGCATACCAAAGGAAACATCATTCTACTTAGCAATATGTTGATTTAAAAGCCAGGGGAATTGAAGTTAGTTCAAAATATCCTCAACTGCAAACTTAGTCAGATTGAAATAATGTACAATGAGTCATAAGTCTGGAAACAAGGTATAGAAAGGAAAGCTGTAGTTAGGACTCTACTGCTGGAATACACACTTTCCCAGTGCAATGCCCTCTTTTCAGTTTCTGCCTCCCACTGAGCAGGAAGTTCACTCATCATTTACAATAACTGAGTACAATACCTGGGCATTTTTTCTGCACACATCTTCCTAGTAAACAGGAAGGCAGGAGTGAGAGGGTGATGTAGAGCTAGAGCAAGATCCTCTGTTTTCTCAGTACTGACACCCAGTTCAGAAATAGTGGTTTCTTAGATCTATGAGCTATTAGGTCTGAGTATGTGTCACAGTAATAGAAGATATTTCGGTCACTGTTCATGGAAGGATTTCTGAGTAGGGTATTTTTTAACTGGAATATGCCGAGCTGTAGTGATTGTCTGTACCCTCTTTAAGATCCTTTATGCCAACAAAACTGAGGGCTTATTGGCTTTGATGATGAGAAAATCTATTTATTTACTTACATGGTGGATTAAAGTGGGGGGATGTTGTCACCTGGCTAACAAGAGTGCTTCTCTCTCCAAGGTTATACAGGTACATCATGTGCCTCTGAACCACCCCAACCTTTAGCCTAATGTACTAATGTCAACCATTGTTGGTGTGAATTTATGCTATCATCCCAGCTTCAATTTTGTCAGTGGTACAGGTACAGATTTCACTCGGTTGTCCATGGCACAGGGTGACAGTTTCTGAAATGATCCTACCTTTAATCATCACAGTTCATGAGTCAGCACCTACAGTCACACTGGGAATGGTCATGATGTAACTTAACCACAAGAAAACTGATTTGGTTGACACACACTGCATGGCCTGGGGGGGTTGGCTAACATTAACTACATTGGTGAGTGGTCTTCTGATCTCTAGTAATGCCTTGCATCCACAGAGTTCTGGTTTTGCTTTTTGCTAATTGATACTTAACCAAGTTATCCTACCTTGTGTAGCTAGTCAGGTCAGGCAGGGTGGTTAAGCCACTTTAAAGCACAAACCACCATTTATTGTGGTTTTCTGAGAGTTTTCAGATAGTATTTTGTAAGCCAGTAAGATAGACAGGGATAGAACATGCCAAGCAAGATATAAGGTTTCAACCAGAAGAAAAACACTCAAAAAGTAAAAAAACAGTCCAGCAATATTTCTACAGTGCAGTTTTTCACCGTATGGCTGGTTAAACACTGGCACAAGTTTCCAAGAGGTTGTAAAGCCTACTTCCTTGGAGATACCAAGCTCAACTGGATGTGGCTCTGAGCAATCTCACCCAGTTGGACTTGCTCTGAGCAGAGGCTGGACTAGACATCTCCAGAGAACTCTTCCAATGTATATGATTCCATGATTTTTACAGAGCTGATCCTAGCCCCACTGATGTCTTTAGGACATCCTCCTCCCAGATATCTGCTATTGTTTGGGTGGGATTCATTTCATGTCATGAGACGTCTAACCCCAGCAATGACTTTGGTTCCTTCAGCAGTCCATGTCAAGAAACAGATATTTTCAGATATTTTATCATCTTATCATTTTAGGATGGGATATATCTGGACATGCCTCTCTCATTCCAATGAGTTTATCAGAGGTCAAAACAAGTAGCTTAGGTGGGTTACCAAACTTCAGACAGCTCCGTTAGGTGAAACTAATCCCACCCTAGCAGGGCAAGTGCCAGCAACTTACAGTTCACACACACCTTCAAAACACATTTTCATGTTGCTGTTGTCTTGCATCAAATTTGTGGAATTGAGATGGGGAAATAAAGGAGCAGCTGCAAGACTCATTAGCAAAATCTTCAGCGCATTTCAGGGAAGGAGAAACAACTGCTGTCAACATCTGATTATTCTAATAGTGCCACCTGCTTCTGTCTTCTGATAGAGGAGAGCCAGAAGATGCAGCCATTAGCACCTGAAACACACCTAAACAAACCAAATACAGAATGGTGGTGGTGGCCCTGTGGCTCCGTACGGTGGACCAGGGAGGAACCAGGGCACTTTGGAAGGACTCTGGTTTGACCAAATATGCAACTTCAGCAGTCTGAGATCATTTGTCTGCAGCTGGGCACAATGACATCATTTCAGTACTATTTTGAAGTATTATCTTATTTTGATTAGTAGGATGCCTATTGTGATGTAACATGGTGCTTTTTTTTTGCTTGTGATTGCCAAAATGAAAAACATACAGATGGCAAAATTCCTTCATTAAGCAGTTCAGCCTTTATAATATATATATTATTTAATTTTTTTTTTCAGAAAAGGGATTTATAAATATAACCGACTCTAAAGAAGAATTTGAAATTGGTGAAGAAGCATTTTGCTTTGAAGTTAACTTTACAGCATATCCATCAGTTAGATGCATGTGGCTATCTTCCCAAAAAACATTTCCATGTAAACAAAGTTACAGCATGGATGGACGCAGGTACTTGAATAGTTTGGTAGTTTGATATAATAATGCCTTGTCTTTGTATCTCATTTGGACTGCTTACTGTCCATGTTTTGTACTATTTTTCTGTTTTTTAAATGTGGTGGTGAAGCTGTGTTAACAAAAGGTGCTCAAACATGATTTTGGGTTTCAATAGCAGTTCATGTAAATAACTTCTAGAATCAAGTTATTCTCCATGTTATAATAAACCCTTTGGTAAATTAAGCATGTAGCCTTTTGTTTATCTGCATTTTGCTATTCCCTTTCTCTCTAACACAGTTTCTCAGTTACAGATCTGTTTCGGTTTTCATACTGGATCACAAGTTCTACATGTTCCCCTTTTGTCATCCTGTTCTTGATGATGTTCCCAGTGTCTTTCAGACCACTTATATCAAGTCTAAGTCCACGCAGTTTCCCAGGCCACTGTTAGATCTGTTCGACTATGCCACAGAAACATACCGTTCTGCTTGTTACCTAGGTCATGTACTCTTCCACTGCTGCAAAACATGTTTTGAATAAACCTGTTAGTTATCTACCTTTTCTGTTATTTCCTACAATGAAGTTCTGGCATGAATCCTACTCAAGGCTAATGTTTTCTCCATTCCTTAGGCCTTCTAGTTTCTTGATAACATTATCTAATTTCCTTCAGAGACTCTTTCAAAGTAGTCTCATGGCTTTCAAGGTAACAACTCTTATTCACCTCAATGAAAATAAAACTAAGCTGCTCTTTTAAAGTTTTCACTTTAAAGCTATGTAGGGCCTAGGCAGGAATTAACGTGGCTGCACAGATTTTTTTCTTATATTCTTAAAACCTCTCTTAGCATCTGCATGAAACTGTGCTACAGCCATGATTATTATTTTTATCATTTCTTTCCTTAGTATTTTGGTGCACTCAATTTTATCCACTAGCTTCTCAAGTCATTTTTGCAACAGACTGGCCTTTCCATCTGCCCTAGAAGGTGCATTGGAGTCAGATCTTCATGAGGTTCCGAGACAGCTCAGTTCAGACTAGTAAACTGTCATCTCCTAGCAATAGCCACAGGAACTCTGTCCCTGCTGATAAAGCGAGGACTGTCAACAAACTTTGATAGCTGTGGGTGTGTGTTGGTGACTAATCTGCAGTGCCTGACATGGGCTAGCCAAATCTGTTCTTTATGATCACTACTGATTTTGGAAATGAGGTTTCAGGGGACAGCCGTGAGCATTTGCTCATCCTTGTCCAATAGGTACCTCCCTCCAGCTGATAAGGCCTAGTTGATTTGCTTTGCAGCTGGTATTGGTCTCTTCTCACCACTCATAAGAACAGGGGCCAGTTTTGCTTGAATGATTGACAGCTGCTGTAAATTAAATCTGGATAAGAAGGTGCTGCAGGTTGGGCCAACAATAACAATTTTGAGACCTCCAGAAATAGCTTACGTAACTCTCATTAATGGGTCAGGTGCAGCTGGTGGTGGCCTGGGATCTATGAGTCACATCAGATAGCCTTTGCAGCACAGCACCAACAATTGTCGAGAGCTGATCATCACCTGCTGCCAGAGAAAATCTCAGCCCGTGTCCTGGAGAAGTGCATTCCAGGGCAGCCCTGCACCATCCACGGCCACGATCATGGCCATGGGCAGCTCACTGCCCCAAGTATCACTGGAGCTTGGCCTAGAGATTGCTTCAGACAACTTATCCATCCATCTGACTATGCTGTCAATTAAATATTTTTTTTTAGGTTCATTTTAGGTAATTATACTTTGTGTTTGTTCCTTTGTCATCCAATTTATCTTATGGAAAAATATAATTGAGGGAAAAATCCATTAATTTAGTGATTATTTCATCTGACAAGTACATTCTTCTGTACAAACATTCCCCACAGCTGTTCAGTTTTGGTTGAATACTAGCATTGGATAGACACGCCTCCTCTGAGGAAAAGAAGTAGAGGTAGATATTTCATTCAGTTTGAAGCAGCAAGGGGTAGGGAGTTCAGGAAATACTGCCTGCAGCTGTAGCACTGCAAACTTCATTGTGATTTTAAAGCAGAATGTTTCTTGAAGCAAAACAAATAAAGATCATCATATATCTTCATGTATTGTGAATCTAACTTTGCACATTTTAGTTAACTTCTGTGTAACCATGTCTCCCAACACTTCTACTTTACTCCTTTCATATCCTTCTTCATTTCCTGTTTTTCTGCATTTTTGATTTCTGCCATTTCCTTACCAAATTGTTCCTCCTGATTATAGATCATATTAAATTTATTAATTAACTCTGTCCCCTTCTTTAGTTTCTAATTTCAAGTCCCAAGGATTCACCTCTTTTGTCACTGCCCTACATGTTTCCAGACATTCCTTCGGAATTTCCATTTTCTGTTTGCTTTTGTTGACTCTCTGCTTTAGCACACTGCTGATTTTCACTTCCCTCCTAAGAGCAAATCATACACAGAGCGACCTCTGTTAAATTTATAATATTTATCTCACATCCCTTTGTGTTTTCAGTTACCAAAGACATGCTTTATATTATTTTCTCATTACTTTATTAAGATTTAATTCTTCAGACCTAGGATTTCAAAAGCAACAGATGATTTGTGGCTTCTTCTGCCTTCAGTATCCATTTTGAGGTAGCTTAAAAGGGGTCTGATTTAAAAAAATCCTTGAGTTCAGGGACATCTTTAAGGCCACTTCAGGTGAAGACATTCAAAAGTCAGTAACTGTACGGAGTTGCTGCCTTAGTCAAAAGGCAAAATTGCCAGTGGCTTCCATGTGAGTTCTCCCAGTTTAGAATTGCCAAAGCAGTTTAGAATTGCAAGGTGATACTTAATTCTTTTGTATGTATCTTGCTTAATGAGAAATATCCTGGGTTTATTTCTCTAGATTTCTTACTTCACAAATTGCTGGTATAGGCTGTCTGGTTTTAATTTCTGCTTCAAACCACCAGATATTCTGCTTGCCTTTACCACAGAAATTTAGTTGGGGCTTCCTAACCAGTTATCTTTGAGCAGCCAGACAAATCATCTGTCCCCAAAATCTGCCCTCATCTCCTCCATCTAAGAGAGATTTTCTGAAGTGCCTTTTAATGTTGATGAACTGCAATAGCTGCCATTTAAATTTGACAATCATCATTTTGACTTCGACAGTATTAGATTTACAGTTGGACTCAATGATCTTTAGGGTCTTTTCTAATCTAAATCATTCTGACACCATGAATTATATATGTTGTCTTCCAAAGGATTGGTAATAAAATCACATTCTGACTGTTCACGTGTACTCCAGGAACTATGAAGAAAATTGCAGAACTAACTCAATAGCAGGAAACAAATATCCTCTCATCAAGACTGTTACATTCTGGGATTTATATTGTCTAAGCAAAAATAATTTCATCTGGGTTCCTCATTAGAAGATGTTGGATTGTTTCAAACATGTATGCACCCTGACTACATCTGGAATCTTTTTAAAGTCAATTGTTTGTCCATTTCCCTCCTTTTCTTTACTCCACAGCATTTCATCAAAGTTCTGCAACCATCAGCACCGGTCTGGAGTATACGTATTTTATGCCGAAAATGATGATACAGTCGTGACAAAAAAATTCACTCTGTACGTGAGAAGTAAGTGAGAAAATAATCCCTGTGAAGATTTGTCAAAGTCTGCAATTTTGCCACTGGTATAAATGGAGCTAAGATGTTTGTTTTCCCTTGGTATTCCCCATTTCATTTACCTAGGTTTATTGTTGACAATGGAGGACCACAAGGCAAAAACGTGATTCCCTTCACTCTGCACTACACTACTGAAATCCAGGCTCTGGGTCAGAGAACGATGCTGGCTGCCTGTGTGTTGTGTTTCTTCTGTTGGTCAGGGATGGAAAACAGAAGAAGGAGGAGGAAGTTATTAATTTTTTTGTCTTCCCTTTAGTTTGCTGTAAACAGAGATGACAGAATATGAGAAATGAGTCATACACTGAGAAGAATAATGCTTCTTCAGAAAACCACAAAGCCTGGGAGCTCAGTAAAATACAGAGTATTTTATTGTAACTCTACAGAGCCAGAATATCATAGAATCATACAACAGTTAGGGTCAAAGCCCCATCCAACCTGGCCTTGAACACTGCCAGGAATGGGGCAGCCGCAGCTTCTCTGGGCACCCTGTGCCAGTGCCTCAGAGCCTACTTAGTGAAGAATTTTTTTGTAATGTCTAATCCTAATGTCTCCCCTCTTTCAGCTTAAAGCCTTCCCCCTTATCCTGTCACTACATGCCCTTGTAAAAAGTCCCTCTCCAGGTTTCTCCTAGGCCCCCTTTAGGTGTTGGAAGACTGTCATAAGGTCTTCCCTGAGCCTTCTCTTCTCCAGGCTGAAGAAGCCTGTGTAGAGACCCCATGAGATACACAGTGAAAGGAAACACCCTCATTAGGTGTTAGCTTTCTATGGCACATTTATGTTATTTTTTTCCTAATGGCACTTGTGAGTTAATGTAGTTAGTCTGGAGACCCTTTGGTGTGTAAAACGTGTATTAGGGCTGCAATGTTTCATATACCCCTGCCCTCAAGTAACACACATGCAGAGTGTGCCCAATGCTCCCAGTTATCTCAGTTCTGCCACGCAACTGCAGCACCCTCTCACCCTTGCTCTAGGTCAGATCAGGAAGCATTATTTACTACATATTATTTATACAGGGTTCCTTTGTGCACATTTTGTATAAGCTGGGCACCCAGGCCTGGGGTGTCAGGGGAGTCCTAGGGCTGACTGCTTGCTCTGAGTTAGAAAAGCAGAAGTCAAGGTTCTAATTTTGGCTCTGCCACTGTTTTGGTCTGGCTGTGCCTGTACAGAGAAGCAGCTGCTCCTCTTGCCTTGCCCACACTGCCATCCTGCAGAGCCGAGGCAGGGAGCTGTAGGAAGACTGATGGCTGTACTCACCTCTCACAGTGACGTGTGGGTGGGTTAGTTTGAAAACACAGAAGCAGACCTTGGTCTTGGCAGAGTGACATTGCCCCATAAATGTCAAGGTTTTGGTCACTGAAGTGCTGACAGAAATTATCTTGTGTTATATTTTGTTGTCTCTGCCCATGGCAGGGGATTGCAACTAGATGGTCTTTTCCAACACAAACCATTATATTATTCTATTATATTGTTGCAGGAAAGCCCGAAATAAAGATGCAGTGGCTGTTCAAGCAGATCTCCTGCATCGCTGACAGTTACCCTGCCTCATCCTGGGTTTGGAGGAGCTGTTCCGAGCTGAACTCATCCAAGTAAATACATTTCCCTCTTTTTTATTCATTGCAAATAGCATATCTGATCTATCCTTGGTTAAATGAGGACTGGCCTGTAAGAAAACAAGTGTAAAATGCACCTTTGACCATTTGTACAAGGGCCAATGTGTCACGCTCCAGGAAATCACCAAAACTAGAGAAAGTTTCCCAATTTTTTTTTATTGTCATGAAATGAAGTCTATAAAGGTGTGTATCTCAGGCTCTTTACAGTGAAATAAACCCCACAAGGTTTATAGCAACAGTCAGGTAGTTACAAAATCAAATCTGAGTTTTCCTCTTGGCCTGTCAAAGGTACAGGTATTCAGGGAATGCATTGGTTAATACAGGCTTGATTAATTAGGTAAGCTTTGATTAATACAGCTGTTACAGTGACCTGTTATCAAAGCCAGTGAAGTCAGTGTACTGGTTTTGGCTTGGGTAGAATTTTCTCCACAGTAGCTGGTGTGGGGATGTGTTTCAGATTTGTGCTAGAAACAGTGCTGATAATTCAGGGTTGGTTTAGGTACTGCTGAACTGTGCTTACACAGAGCCAAGGCCTTTTCTGCTCCTCACACCACCCCAGCAGCAAGGGAGCTGGAGGTGTGCAAGGAGTTGGGAGAGGACACAGCCAGAACAGCTGATCCCAGCTGACCAAAGGGATATACTGGACGGTATAATGTCATGCTCAGCATGTAAACCTGGGGAAGAAGGAGGAAGGGGGAGGTTTGGAGTGATGGCTTTTGCTTTACCTGTTAAACTGTCTTTATCTCAGCCCATGAGTTTTCTCACTTTTACTCTTCTAATTCTTTCCTCCATCCCATGGTGGGGAGTGAGTGAGCAGCTCTGTGGGGCTTCCTTACCAGCTGGGGTTAAACCGTGACACTCAGTGAGAGTGTTTCTATTTCCTCTATTTATCTGGGGCAATGAGTCAGGCCCTAAAATTTCAAAAGATGCTAAAACAGCTTTGAGCTGTTTTATAAACCCTGCAGTTTTTATTTAGATATTTCAAAAAATAATATTCCTGTGCTGCAGAAAAGTGCTAAGTCAAAGCATCTTTTCGAAGACTGTGGATAAAGCTCTAAGTATTTTAAGCAGATATTAAAAACAAAATATCTAGATGATTTTCTTATCCATAGCTCTGAAAAGGCTTCCTAACATGATCTGTGCAGAAATGGAAGAGGAAAGAAAACATCCAGCTAGTGATTTTAAAGTAGTCCTTAAATCAGCTTTCTGGAAAGAAAATGCCGTGACATTTCTTTTCTTGGGAACTTCCATATATAGAAGTTAGGGCTTCATGTAGAGCTGAATTAATTTTATTTACTTACCTCTTCATTTATTTGTGTGACAGTAAATTAGTAAGCTGATGAATGAAAGAAAAGCTAAATAAATAATAAACAAAATAATCTCTGTGGAGGCTTACTTTCCCTTGAATATAATGTTCCCTCTTTCTATGTATCAGGTCCTAAATAACTCATTGATACAGGGTAGATGCTCTCCACTATCAGTGAGTGAAATTTTTCATTGAAATCCTATAGTTGTGAATGCTCCATCCCTGGTGGTGTTCAAGGACAGGTTGGACCGAGCCTTGGGTGGCATGGTTTAGTGTGAGGTGTCCCTGCCCATGGCAGGGGATTGGAACTAAATGATCTTAAGGTCCTTTCCAACCCTACCTATTCTATAATTCTGTGATTCTAAATCACACACCTGAAGGGAAAGGAGTTAGAACTTTGCTACTGGTCCATTTTGTACTATTTGTTTTAGTAGGGGCTCATTTGGAGCTGCTCCATGATTTGGGTGCTTGCGGTAATGGTGAAATCAGTGGGAATAGATGTGCTGAGGGGGGATTGTGTCAGCTGTGAAAGTCTGGAGATCCCAATGGTTAAGCAGTGCAGGTGCCCTGCCAGGGCAGTGGTGGGACTGAGAGTAAGCCCAGTGTGGGAGATAGGGAGCCCAGTTCAACCCCTGCAGACCCCATCATGTCCATCACCAAAAATGAGATTGGAAACTGCTCTGAAGCCTCACTCTAACAGTGACAAATAAAACCCAATCTCGTCTATCCCTCCCTCTATCCCTCCTAGCACAGACATATCACAGAAGACATGTTTTGAACCAGCCACCTTCTACCCTGGAAAATGACATCGTGAGCCAAAAATCAGAACTGGTCTGCTTTCTTTTTCAGCTGTACAGAAGAAATCACTGAGGGGATTCACAACTTGTTACCGGAGAGGAGATCCCTGGGGTCATGGATTTCTAGCAGTACTTTAGATGTAAAGGAGACAGCAACAAACTTCTCTGTGGAGTGCTGTGCAAACAATTCTGCTGGTTCATCCTGTGAAAAGAATTTCATTAACCTATCAGGTACCATAAAACAGTGTTTTAGCACAGGTTTTCTCAATTAAAGCTGTCATTATAGATCTTACGGTATTTTAGGCCTGGCTAAATGGCTGACCATGCCATGGCATTGTAAGTAAAAAAAAACTAAAAAGTATTTTAGGCCTGGCTAAATGGCTGACCATGCCATGGCATTGCAAGTAAAACACAAGTGCTGTTTGTATACACTGGGGGAAACAGTGGATGAATGGGTGAGTCAGGTCTCTTTTCCCTGGTGCCAAAGCAGGGGCCTCCCTCGTTAAAATGAGCAGAAATTTCATACAAATATGAAGTGCTGAATAGAGCCGTGGCAATGTTGGGTCTGCTGTTTATTTCATCTTAGTAATCCCTAACTGAAGCGTGAAGGCAACAGCTTTGGGAAGAGCTGAAGCCACTTTGGTAGTTGGAAGGTGCTGGCCCTTGTTCCTCTCCTGGAGGTCACCATGGTGCTGCCAGAAATGCCCATGGGAGCTCTCCTCACCCCATGGGGGTCATTGCACACCTAGGCAAGAGCATGACTGAGCCAACAGAGACACCCAAGAGTCAGTCCCTGTGTGGCAAGCAGGAGTGAGTACTGGGGAAAAGACTTTAAACTGTGGGTTCTCCTTGTACCTTTAGCTGTACACGCAAAGCTCTGATTCAATGAGTAGTAATATGTATCTCTTAAAGTTGCAGGAGCTGTTTCTCCTCCCCTGGACAGTACTGCCTTCTATGTCTCTGTTGGATTTTTCCTCCTATTGATGGCTTTCTTGTTTATACTATATTTTCATAAATACAAAAAGGTAAAAACAAATATGAATACCCATCCTTTCTTCTGTTATTCCTACCAGGCTGTTTCTCCTTCTCTAAGACTTATTCCACTGTTGTTTTTTTTTTTATCTTCCAAAGCAATTTAGGTACGAAAACCAGCTGCAAATGATTCACATTATAGGTCCATCAGATAACGAGTATATCTACATTGACTTCAGAGAATTTGAATATGATCTCAAATGGGAATTTCCCAGGGAAAATCTGGAGTTTGGTGAGCAGTCCCTAAGGCAAACCCCAGTGCTGGTAGCCTGTGCCGTACCAACTGTGAATAAGATTGGCATATTGTGTCTTTTAGGACAGGTCCTTGGTTCTGGGGCTTTTGGGAAAGTGGTAAATGCAACAGCTTATGGAATTAGCAATGCAGGAGATGCAGTCCAGGTTGCAGTCAAAATGCTAAAAGGTATGATAAACTCTGGGTGCCTATTACAAGCAATGATGTATTCTAGCAGCTCTGAAGCAGAAGTGGTGCTGGAAATCCCTTTATACACAAACTTCTACCAGTTACACCTCACCAATACCTCATTTCAAAATCCTGTTTCAGTTTGAAAAGGTACTGCTGAAGTGCCTTCTTCCTGTAGGATGTCCTATACAGCAGAGGTCTGCATCATGTGTGGAAGGATGAAACTGCTCTGCTCTGAAGAGAATGAATGCAAATTCATAGTGCAGGTTAGCCTGCTGGTCACATTGGTGACTCTGTGGACTTTGGTGTAAGATCCCTTTGTCTTGTAGTGCTGTCTAGCTGTTGTACTCCCCTCACCTGCTGTGCCTGAGGTTCACTGAGATCATGAAGACCAAATGCGTGCTGAAAAACAAGACTAAAGCTATTACTGAAACACAGAGTTTTCCTTAGCTATGGGAGTGCAACTGGTTGCATGCCATATGGCTGTTAAGACATTTTTCTCTTGCCAACAGGGTTGACTGCCATTTTCTCTGTGCTTGTGAACACCTTAATAATTGCTGTTTTTCCTTGTCAGCCCAAGAATAACAAATACTAACATTTTATGACTGCCTTCCCAAACATTCAAATGACCCATGCTAACACACATGTAGTTTTCACCTTTGGCTGAATCTTTTTATACTGCACAACAATTTTTTAGGATGTTCCCAAGTGTACTGTCAATCCAATGAACTTGAAATGAAGACTTGCCTGTGACAAAGCATCGCAACCATTGACATTTTTATTTCTTTGCTGGAGATTTCCAAATCTTTGTTATTGCTTTTACAGAAAAACCTGATGCTTCAGAAAAAGATGCTCTAATGTCTGAGCTGAAAGTGATGACTCACATTGGAAGCCATGAAAATATTGTGAACCTACTAGGAGCTTGTACTGTGTCAGGTAACCTGCAATTGTAGAAGGGTACCAGTTAAAACCGCCGGAATAACAAGGACTCCTGAACAGAAAAAAAGTACCAAAAACTTGGTTTCAACTTTTGTTGAAAGCAGTATTAAAAACATCCAAGACATATTTAGTCGCCTGCTGTTTCTCAGGCTGCTGTTTCTCAGGCTGCTGTTTCTCTCTTCATCCCAAATCCTGTCTTTGCCCAACCAATTTTGCTTTTCTGTGCTGATCCAAAACAAAATGAAAATGAGCTGAAAGCAAAGTTAAGGCCATGGATGTGTACAGATATGAGTGCTTTCTCACTGAACTTGCATGAAGTGATACAACAAGCCTTCTGTAGAAGAGGTTTTCATGTTACAGTGGTGATGGCACTGATATGGGTTAGTTTATTAAGTGAAAAAAAAATCTTATCTGGTGTGAGGTGCTTTTGTATCCACGTGGTTTTGTTCACATAACAAATTTTAATTTGTTCTTTTTTAATCATGTGGCTCCCCAGATAGTGAAGTTGGAGAAAGAAAGCGGAAAATGACTGCAAAATAGACAGGAAAGAAAAGAAATGAAAAAGAGCAGGGATGGGGGTGGCACCCAAAGGAAGGAGAGAAGTGAATAATGAAAAGAGGTACAACTGGGGAAGGAAGATGCATGGGATGCCTAATACTGATTAGTTCTGAGAGAAGATGTGACATTATTAGGGCTTTAATGGGGAGGGTGCCATAGTTAGCAGGAAGAATTTACATCTCCAACTATTTCAGGACCAATCTACTTGATATTTGAATACTGTTGCTATGGTGACCTTCTGAATTACTTAAGGAGCAAGAGAGAAGAGTTTCACCGGACATTGGCGTATGTTTTTAAACAGCACAACTTCAGCTTTTACCACAATATTCATTTGAACCAAAATTCCAGGTAAAGCATTCAGCAGCAGTTTAATGCTTTATAAACTACTGTCTCCTTTTAAGCTGCATTCTCAGCTGTGCTGTAAGTTGCTGAAATCACTGAATTCATGACAATGTGTCTTCACATACTTTAATAAGCAGTACCTTAGGGAGGAACTGAGATTTGATTCTCCCTATGATGTTCTTCACACTGGACTGCAAAAGACAAGTAATATCTTTTTCTCTTTCCACTTTCGAGAAGACTCATGTCTGTGCCCAGGTTTTTAATGGCAATAACTGATCATGCTTTTTTAGTGCAAAAAATAGTTTATGTGAAGAAGATTATGAGATATACTGGGTGTAACCTTTGAAAATGTGTCATCCACTCCAGGAAGGGAACTCACCTCAAGTATAATGTGAATGCAGCTGTATGGAGAGAAGATGAATTTGAAGTCACACAGAGCCAAAACATAAATATGGCATCTGGATCAAATGGGATTGTGCTGCCTTCTGAGGAAGGTAATTGCTTCTATCTCTAGTAATTCTGTTATTATTGTACTTATTATGTTATTGCTCTAACTAGACAAGATTCAGTGACACAGGAGGCCCCTTTCTGTCATATGCCTCTGTTCTCTTCTAGCAGGAATTTTGCTGGAGAAGGATTCAACAGCACTTAAGATGAGAGGTTTATGTCTCTGAGTATTTTTCATGCAAATACTCATGCATAGTATTTGCATGAAAATATTCTTTCCTTTACTTTGTATCTGAACAAAGGATGCAAAAGATGGATTCTCTTTGTGATGTTGTCCTTGGTAGGAGCATGTGAAAATCCTTACCGCAATCAATGGAATTAACCGGATAGTAAGTAAGCCCATGGAAAACTCATTACTTCTGGTTGGTTTTTTACAGATGAAATTAGATGTGGAAGCAGATTGATGGATGAAGAGGAGGACTTTAATGTGCTCACTTTTGAAGACCTTCTTTGCTTCTCTTATCAAGTTGCCAAAGGAATGGAGTTTCTTGAGTCCAAATCGGTATGATGAAGGGTAGGAAATTGTTTAGAGAGAAAAGGAAGCAAAAACAGGTCAGTCAGACTGAAGAATAGAGCCACTCAGTGGCAGGTTGGAACTATGCCTCCTTCCCTGGCTTTACAGCAAAGACTGGATTGCAGCTTTAGACATGACCCTGAGTAAGACCCTGCACACTTCTACCTGCTCTGGCCCTGTCCCCCTGCCAGGACAACCAGGGACTACCCAGCTCGCTCATTCTCCAAATTGTTTAAGTGGAAGGAGGCATCAGTTCAGGGAACTCTGTCTGAGACAAGGGAATTATCCTTTTCTGATACCAAATGCTGCAGTGCTAACCTTCCTTTTTCTTCTAAGTGCATTCACAGAGACCTTGCTGCCCGAAATGTACTAGTGACCCATAGAAAAGTGTTGAAAATATGTGACTTTGGCCTTGCCAGAGACATAATGAACGACTCCAACTACATTGTCAGGGGCAATGTAAGTTCTTGTGTGCTCTCTGTTTTTCATGCCATTGTAAAAATGACAAGGAACCAAGAAAGCGAAGCCTTTCATTTTCAAATTCCATGTTAGCTTTATGGGTAGCTGTAGAGAGTGCAGAAATCTCATGTTTTCCTGCTCTTGGCAAATGCAAATTCTAAGCTTATAATTAATATGACCAAGCTAGTACTCTAAATGGGATGGTACCCACATGCTTTCTGAAGCACAGTGAAAATCCATTGATGGAACTGCTGGGAATTGTTTACTGTTACGCACAGTAATAATACAGGGACAATAGCATGAGGGGGGAGTACACCTGATTGTCTGGCTATAGGAAGTACTGTGTGGGTATTGTCATCTGCAGTACTCCCTCTGGAAGTCAAAGGAGGGAAGAAGGCTCTTCCAGGGTTGAGCCCATCTCTTGCTTAAACAGTCATCTAAAATGGATGAGGTGAACTGGCTTCATAGAAGTGCCTGCTTCTCTCTATAAGGGAAATTCAAAGGGGCTACAGGAACAGGTCCAGATTTTCACATAGCAAACATGAACTGATCCTACTCAAGCAGTGGAAACTACAGTGACTCATCAAGAAAGACTGTGTCACAGCATGACATGGCCTCCTTTCCCCCTGTCTGTACAGGCTCGTTTGCCAGTTAAATGGATGGCTCCTGAAAGCTTGTTTGAGAGGACATACACAATGAAGAGTGATGTCTGGTCTTATGGAATATTACTGTGGGAAATTTTCTCTTTGGGTATGTTCTGTAACACAACAGGAAAGCAGCCCTTGGTTTTGGCAGCTTCTGAATTAACATGCATTCTCTGATGTTCTTCACAGGTGTAAATCCCTACCCTGGGATTCCAGTTGATACAAACTTCTACAAATTAATACAAAGTGGATTTAAAATGGACCAACCGTATTATGCTACAAGAGACGTGTAAGTGTATTTCCTGAGTGATGGACAGCATGGGAATTTATATTTATTAAACCACTGTTCGTATGTACACCATACCTTGTTCAGGAAAAGTTGCAAAAGGTGAGATCTTCCCCTGCCTCTGGCTGCTTGATCCTGCAGGTTTTATCCTAACACAGAAGTGATCAACACAAAAGGTTAGATGGCCCTCCTTTCACAGGGAACTTCTCATTCTCAGGTCACAGACTTCTTTTCTTTTTGCAAAAGCTATGTTATACCAAGTACATTTTGGATATTCACTGAATCTTTTGTGATTTTTTTCTAAACTTCCTTTTTTTTTTTTTTTAATTGAGCTTTAGCATGTTTCATTCAGTTCCAGGAGGACAGGGATCCTCTTAAAGGAAAAACCCCGCTAAGAAAGGGTTGGTGGGAGCTCTCTTTCTGTGCCGTCAGCACATGGTTTTTAGCCTGTGCCTCTGTGCCTGAATGAACCCTGCCTAGAGGTGGACCACAGGGAGCAATAGAAGAGAAGGTGATGTGGAGCTACAAGACCCAGAGCATGAAGGAAAGGGAAGAACTTTGGGTTGCCTGAGCTCTTTCGGCAGACATCTCATAGATGGTCTAGGGACTAAGTGCCTTGCTATGACAGTATACTATTTTTATCCTCTCCATGTAAAGAATGTAATGGCATCAAAGGTGACTCTGACAGATTGACCTATGAAAGATTGTAGTGGGGCTTATAAATACCAGGGAACCTACTGATCTAGTAAGTTTACAAGGGACTTTAGCAGATAGGCATTGCGCTGGTCCCTGCTGAAACTGCAAAATCGGGCACCTTTCCATAAAATCATTCTGGTGCCCCATCATTCCCATTCAGATTCTGTACTCCCATGTAGTTACTTACAGAGAGTCCAGCAGCTAACATGTTTTCCATATCACCTCTTTGCTCCTGCAGCTATCGCGTGATGCAGTCCTGTTGGGACCTTGACTCCAGAAAGAGACCCTCTTTTTCCCAGCTGGTTTCCTCTCTTGCCTGTCAGCTGGCTGAGGCAGAAGGAGCAGTAAGTAAACACAGAAAGAAGAAAAATTCACTTTTCTTTTACTTTCTTATTTTTTTTTTCCCTAGCCCCATAGATCACAATTAGCTGATAGTCTTCTGGTTTCTATTCAAGTGCACCACTGAGTTATGGATACATTGCCCATGGATCTATGTAAGAGTTCAGGGGATTTTTGCTGTTATGGGAAGAAATCCTGACCTCCCTGATGAGGATTTCTTTCCTCCAACTGTTTGCACCAGGACTCTGGAAGGCTGAAATCTCTCAGCCTGTGCTATGGGAATGTGTTTCACTTGTGAAGGAGCCAGTACATTTGGCTTTGGTGATGCTGATAGCTACCATGGGAGAGGAGCTGAGCCTGGGCCACCAGCCAGGGATCTCATGGGGGGCCCACCATAGGTGCGTGCTGCCACGTCCTCACAGACAGAGGGAGGGCAGTATGTCATTCTCAAAGTCATGCTTCATACTTACCACGTGATGATCTCTTCCTCAGGGAGGATAAGCAACTCCTTTATAAACTACTGATTCCTACCTGGGTATCTCCCCTGGGCTAGACACTCTGTTTCCCAGTGCAGTGTCCTTGTGAACCTTCTAGCGTATGGAGAGCTATGAATGACTCTTGGCTTTGCAGCCTTGAGCCTCCCTGCAGGCTGGTAGCCTGGCAGAACCTGCTGAGCATAGGGATGAACTAATGAGCAACTTCGAAGCACTGTACCTAGAAAAAAAATCCAGTCTTCCAAGTACAATAAATAATAACAGAGGGTATATTTTATTTCCTTGTTCCAACTCTAGGTTTACCAAAATATGAAGAAAAATGTTTCCACACACAATTCCAGCATCAAAATGAAACCACATGTAAGTAGGGATGAGAAATCTCTGCTATCCCCGACTGTGCTCCAGCATGAAGGCTCTCAGGTTGAAAAATAATCTGGGTTATGGATTTGAGCCCAGTATTTTCATAAATTCCATGTAGCATAAATGTATTATAACACCACTAAGAAAAGAAAATGTTACCAACCACTGTTCCATTCACCTTTCTTATGGGACAGTCTATATTTATGTTACTTTGAGGAGAAGACACAGTTCATTGCTTCGAATTCAGCAAACACGTTTATTGCAGACAGAAGCAACGGTCTTTTCGACTTATATTGGAGATCTCTTTTCCCAGTTTTATGTAAATAATGTCTTATCAATGCATTGAATTCAGACTTTTCTTACCATATGGCTAGCAAGTACAAGAAAATATATGTAGTTTTTTTAGCTGATGTTTACAACACGGACTATGCATCTAAAGAGAGCTTGGTGTGATTTCCAGAAGTGCTACTCACGTCCTTGTCTCCAGATGTCAGCGAGAGCTGGAAGAAAAGGCTATTGGAGTAGCCATCTTTAGATGTCAGAATTTAAAAGTATCAGTCCTGTTTTACAAGGAACTGTAAATCTGAGTGTGTATAACTGTCTTATCCTGGACAATTGCTGTGGAGTTCCCAATAGATGTCAAGTTCAGGTGAGTTCACTTCACTGAGCTTTAGTTACTCGGGTGGTCTCTAGCTGTCCAGGTTACATTCCACATCTGCTGATGACAGTTAGGCACTTACAAGTTTTTTTTCTGTTTTGTTTTTTTTTTCTTTTCTTTTTTAACTAAAATAAGCATTTAAAACAATCAGGAAGAGTGATATTTGGAGATGACCTTCTGCCTCCCTGGTCTTGAAAATTCAGGTGTCAGTTTCCGACTGAAAGTCTCACTTCAACTGCATTATAGCTAATTCCATTCTTTGGTCTTTGTGTGTTTAATAACAAATAAAAAGGTTTAACTTTAAAGAAATTATCTTCTGTAGCAATTTAGGAGTGTAATAACATCACTGCTAATTCCCAGAAGTCATCCTGCTTGTATGAACCCAGCTGCAATAAAATGAGAGTATGTCTCTTTAAATTTCTCCCTGAATCCCAGACAATAACCAGAGGCTTGATGGGTTTTTAATATAGATGAAAGGACACGTTATTTTCATTATGTGGTTTGGGGATTTGTAAATGCAGCTTTCATAATGACTAACAGGATACATTTGTCTATATCACAGTGAATCAAGATGAGAATACTCTGGTTAGTAGTTTTCTTCTCTTTTCCATTTTACAAGATGTTAACCACAGTTAGAATTTTCACTGCAAGTGTTATAATTTAATAACTATTTGATAGAGTATGCTATCACATAAATTGAGCCTCTTTTTACTAATATTGTCTGAAAATAATGAACGTTGTAAAACAGCAATTATGATTTTTATATTTTTGTTAACACGGTTGAATTTGCAAGGGAACATTGATTTTTTTAATCAGATATAAACTGCTGAAGAATAATTTGGAAATATAAATATAAAGATAGCAATAAAACTTTAACACTGCATTTTCTGGAAAATATGTCTGACTTTTAACATACTCACAGCACAATTTCAAAGTGTTCAGCAATGAGATGTCACTGTTTAGCACCATTAACACACAGCCTGCACCACCTGGAAAATGGGAGTTAAGTGTCTTGTGCAGACAGGAGCTTTCAGCCTTCAGAGCTCAGAGGAACTTAACACTGAACTGGTTCCATCCAAGCCTAGCTGGCCCTGGAAACTAAGCAGATATGAACTTGGATCATAGACGAGCAGATGGAAATCTCATGTGATTTAAAACATGCCAGGGAGTTGTGTCAAATGTTTTTCCAAAAGATTAAAAAAGGAGTGGACAGAGGTCATCTGGCCCCATCAACATTACTGAGCTGAAATTCAGGGATAAAAAGGCGAAGAAAGGGGACCTGCAAGAAATGTGAAGAGGGATTTTTTACAAGGGCATGTAGGGATTGAACAAGATGAATGGTTTTAAACTGAAAGAGTGTAGATCAGATATTAGGAAGAAATTCTTAACTATGAGTATGGTGAGATACTGGCACAGGTTTCCCAGAGAAGTTGTCTCTGCCCCATCCCTGGCAGTGTTCAAAGCCAGGTTGGACGGGTCTTTGAGCAATCTAATCTAGTGGAAGGTGTCCATGCCTGTGACAGGGGGGTTGGAACTAGATGACCTTTACGGTCCCTTCCAACCCAAATCATTCTATGTTTCTATGACTCTATGAATAGAGAACCTTGGAGTTAACACAAACTCCTCATGACACACATGGGAAATGCAGCTCAGGCAACACAGCTCTCTGAGAATGTACAAGCAGGAAAAAGACTGGTGTCCTGGGTTCAGCTCTAACAGTTATTTATTATATTTTATTATATATATTATATTTATTTTATTATATTATATTATATTATATTATATTATATTATATTATATATTTATTATATATTATTCAGCTCTAACAGTTATTTTTCTCCTTCTTAGTAGCTGGTGCAGTGCTGTGTCTGGGCTTTAGTCTGAGAACAATGCTGATAACACATCAATGTTTTAGTTGTTGCTCAGTAGCACTTATCCTGATCAAGGACTTTTCAGTTTCTCATGCTCTGCCAGTGAGGAGGGGCACAAGAAACTGGGAGGAAGCAGAGACAAAACACCTGACCTGAACTAGTCAAAGGGGTGTTCCATACCACAGCACATCATGCCCAGTATATAAACTGGGGGGAGTCACCTGAAGGGGACTGATCATTGCTTGGGTCAGACTGGGTGTTGATCAGCAGGTGGTGAGCAATTGTATTGTGCATCACTTGTGTTTATTGTTGTTTCTTTTCCCCTTCCCCTTTTATTATATATTCTCTCCCCTTATCATTGTTATTACCATTATTATCCCTTATCATTATTATTATTGGTGGTAGCACTAGTGGGTTTGGGTTATACCTTAGTTACTGGACTGTTTTTATCTCAACCAGTGGGGTTTAAATTCTTTGGATCCTCACCCCCATCCCACCTGGAGTGGGGTGGAAAGGGAAGGTTGATCAAGAGGCTGCATGTTTCTGGGTTACCAGCTGGGCTTAAACCACAACAGCTCGACTGTGGAGGGTTGTGCATCTGCTTCTCTGTATGGCAGAGATGGATGCACCAAAACTAAAGGAGGTATTCAGTGGCAAATAACAGCTTTTAGGAGCACATTTCCTTTCCAGAATGTTTCCAACACAACTTAGCGAAATGCTGGTCTGTTCCTGAGGTTTGTGCACAGCAACAGCCAGTGCTGTTTAAGGAGCTGTTTTGTGATTCTGGAAGGAAAATGCACACATTTCTCTTGTTAGGATCCAGACCCCTAATCTGTGCCTCCAGGAGCATGTTCTCAAGAGAAAGTTCTGGATTTGAAGTGGAATGGAAAGAGATAAGCTTGTTTCAAGACCTCTGGCAGGGATGTCATTAGTCTAAGGTAGATGCATAAAGTTAGGCAGAGATTGACAAAGATTCAGTAACCAGAGGAAGAAGGGGAACAGAAAGGGCTGAGTTCAATTAAAGTGCTGAATCACAGAATCGTTAGGGTTAGAAGGCACCTCTGGAGACCATCTGATTCAACTCCCTGCCAAGGCAGGACCACCTAGAGCAGGTGACACAGGAGCATGTCCAGGTGGGTTTTGAATGTTTCCAGAGAAGGAGGCTCTACAACCTCCCTGGGCGTCCTGTTCCAGTGCTCTGCCATCCTCAAAGTAAAGTTCTTTCTCATGTTGAGGTGAAACTTACTGTGTTTTAATTTATGGCCATTGCTCCTCTTCCTGTTGCTGGGCACCACTGAAAAGAGCCTGGCACCATCATCCTGACACCCACCTTTGAGACATTTATATGCATTAGTAAGATCCCCTCTCAGTCTTCTCTTTTCTTGACTAAACAGGCCCAGCTCCTGCAATCTCTCCTAATAAGAGATGCTCTAGGCCCCTGATCATCCTTGTGGCCTTCGCTGGACCCCGTCTAGCAGCTTGTCTTTCTTGTACTGAGGAGCCCAGAACTGGACATGGAACTCCAGATGTAGCCTCACTAGGACCACCTAGAGGGGGAGAATGAAAATGGAGGGGGATAGGAAAGGGTACCATGCCATCCTCGTAGGAGAAACAAAGAACAAGATATTGGCGACTCAGACTCAAAGGTGAGATGCGTTGAGGAATGCGCCTCAGTTTTCTTTCCCTTTTCCCTGGCACAGCACACCCAGGAGCGGGCGGTGCCGAGGAGGCCTCTCCGCGGGGCCCCCCGGGGCCGCGGTCCAGGCCCTGCTGCCGGAGCCGGCACTAGGTGGAGCTCCGCCACCGCCGCGGGCAGCCCCGGGCCGAGGCAGTGGCGGCGGCAAAGGGCCGGGCCTGGGTCAGCCGCGGTAACTGGAGTAAAGCTGCAGGAGACCCCTGAAAGCGGTGCTGGAGATAGTGGTGCCGGCCCGAGGGACGAGCCAGGAGCCAGTCAGCCTCCTCCCGCAGGGTGTTCTTTCAAAACACCGTGCCCGTGTGCCGCAGGCAGCAGACAACAGAAAAAAAAGGCGCTTCTCTGTTCCGTTCAAAAGAAACTGGAGGGGCTTTTCCAACATGTCTCACCCTCCGATTTGGGCTCTTTGAAGTCCGTCTGGGAGGAGCTAGGGCTAACCATGTATTGACCCAGAAGAGGAGAGCAGAAGGTACCCTGTCATGCAGGCTAGTGGTGTTTTCCAATCCACATGTTCATGGTAGGATCCGTGAAAGGGGATGAAGAAATCCAAGATAGAACTTGCTACAGAGCTATTTGCACACGTTACTTTTTCAAAGGTTACACTTCTGCTGAAAAATGTTTTGGGAGTGCAGAATCAAAGCAGGTTGAAGATGACTGGATTAGGGCATTCCCCATGCAGCTGGGCTTAGGGCACACCAGATCTCAGCCCCTTCTCCTAAACACTGAACTAGATCACTCACTGGCACAGGGCTCCCTCTTCCCAGCTGTGCTACTGAGTCGCTGCCTCCTTCCCTCCTCCATCAATGGCTAATTAATTAGGTCACGCAAAGCAAACCAGCTTTAAAAAGCATAAAAAGACTCACGGAGACCTGTTGTTGAGGAGACCACAGAGTACTCTGGGACTTGAGCCCAGCTCCTTCTTACCCTTGCTGAGCACGCCAATGCTCAATGTCTCTTCTAACCACACTGTCAGAGACCTGGGCCAGATTCATGCTTCCTGACATGCTTCCCAGGAATGATATAAAGAGGTGGGCTGCTGGGGACAAGGATCCTGCCTTACGCGTCACTGCCACATTAAAATTTAGGGGTTTAAGGCTGTGCTGGAAAACAGGAGTGTAGAGGGGCTGCTGAGC